TGTAGGAGGCCGCCAGTGAAATTATTATAGTCTAAATGGACATATTTTGAGTATATTTTCACATTGGATATGTCTCCACTCATCAAGTTGTTTGATAGTTCAACTTCATCAATTCTTGCTATGAAGCTCCGAAATATATTCTTATCGATGTTCGAAATCTCAGATCTAGGAATCCGAAGCGCTTCTAAAGACGTTGTGTATATAGCCATGCTGGAAAATTGCGACCTGAGCTTGTATTTTCTGAATAGAAATGTCTGAGTTGAAATGGAGGGACCCAACTAGGATCAAAGTCAAATTTGAAACCAGTTCCAGTTGAACTCAACTCCAATGATTTTAAGTTTGATAGGTTGGCAAAAAAAATTTCTGAAAGGACACCCGCCCAGGAATTACCTCAAATAATTGAAGTTATGGAGTTGACCGAGGGCTTCCGGAAGATTGCCACTCAAGAGATTGTATATATGACATATCAAAGGAAACTAAAGAAGAAAGATTTCCAGCAAAAGATGGCATTGATCCTTCTAATTTATTATTGTTCAACAATAAATAACTTAGTTTTGGAAGCTCGGACAAGGCTATTGGCAATCGACCATAGAAATTGTTGTAACCAAGGTCAACATCAGAGATGTCTTCGGTGACATTGAAGAATGAATTAGGTAATTCTGAGCTGATATTGTTGCCAAAAAGCTTAAAGAGTTTTAAGAGACGTAAAATTGACAAAGTTGTAGGATGGAAAATCTCCTGACTCACAAGTACGATTGAGATAGTGAAGGCAGCATAGCCATATACAGGAGCCATTTGGGTTCACTTCCAATATTTTAATGAGGAAAGTTGAGAAGGCAAATAAAGATCGTTTAATGACATTCCATTATATTATTTGAAAAGTCAAGGTAATGAAGAGGAGCAGAAAAATTGGCTGATGATTGGTTGTTCGATTTGTCTCTATATAGAGGAAATTTAGAGACTTGGCATGGTGGAATACACACACTCGTGAAAAAATTATCGCTCAAATCCAAATAGTTGAGAAATTCAAGTTGAAGTAGAGATAGATCAATCTCAAATTGTAATGTTTGATTTGCTAGATCAAGCTTTCTAACTCTCCTGTGAAGTTGCCACAGTGAACTCCTTCCCATAAACAGCAATCTTCTAGACTAGTCCATGAGGAGAGTTGGTTTGAAGAATTTGCCAGTCCTTGCTTGAAGATCAAAAGTTTTTTTTTTTTTTTTATCATTCTCAATGCACCAACCTCCTTGCCTATATTGCATAAGTTTCTGTTGAGTGTTGTTGCCAATGGAAACAACACCACCACAAATGAAGTTTGTGAAAGGAAGCTCCTCATTGTGTTTCATTTGAGTAGAATAATCTCCACAAAGTCTTTACATGGTATATACAAGTTGCGAAGCCCCCCTTACCTATATTGCATACCACTCTAATCATATTTATAAGATAATGAGAATATTTATATTGATCTTATTTATAAAGCACCTCAAACCTCAATGATTGTGTTTATCTTTACTCTTTTGCTTTTATCAAAAGTTAAAAAAGTTATTAAATAATAAAGTATTTTATTACTAAAGTATGTATATTTATTAGAAGTAAAATTGAAAATTTATTAAGGTTTTAGATAAAGTTAATAAAATTTAAAATTTTTCTTCATTCTAATAAAAATGTTAGAAATAATTTATATATACAATTAGAAATAATATGCTTGTCAAGTCTTTTGATAATTTCAAGTCTTTTGAACCTTTCCAGTCACATCTATTTATGTGATATACATGCATTCATGATCGCATATCACCTACTTCCTGCGTTCTTATATTAAGTTTTTTAGAATTTTTTTATCCTCAAATATAAGGAATTATTAACATTTTTTTAATGAATAGACCATTACATCCTTATTAAATTAAAAAATAAATAAATACTTTTATTAATTTACTTTGAAAAAAATTATTTTATTTATAATAATTAGAAGTAAAATTGAAATGTTGTTATGCTTTTTATTAAATAATAAAATTTTATTAATTTATATTATTTGATTAAAAATATTTTATATATAAGGATGGAGTAAGAAGGGTACTAAATCGAACACCAAAAAATTTTGAGCAGAAAAGGCACACATAAGTATTACGTTTGAAAAGTCTTCCTCCGAAATTTTCGTCTGCTCATTAATGGCGCCCACAAACCAGATTTCATCCTTATCTTCTGTTTCAATTTCCACAGATGAATTGTTCGAACATTTCAAGAAGTAGATGTAGAGTTGGAAATATGGACTTACTAACGACGAGGGAGAAAAAAAAGAAAAGAAAAGAAAGTTGAACTGGGGATCAACTCACTTTTTGATTAGTTGTAATTACACACCACCCGTACACGCTGTTTTATATAACCTTGCAAACTTTACCATGCAAACTTTAACAGTGAAAAAAAGACAAAAATTGTTTCGAACTTCGAACTTTTACTCCCCACCTTTTTTTTTTTTTTTAAGAGTTCATGCTCTGTTATTCAGTAGCCTTAGATCCATGAAGCCAGCAACTAATGGATTCAATCCATGACACAGCATAAAATTTTATTGCTTCAATTATATTCACGAAGGAGGAGACAAAGTGGGACAAGTGGGCTTCATCACAGACATTACACAAGTTCTTCGCCGGACGTCATGAAACAGGGGAGAATGAGACAGAGCATTGATGGCTTTGAAGTCTAATAATAGCTATTTATTAGTGCGAGTCTACGATAGTATGAGTTTATCTAGGCCATTTTTGTTGGCATTTGAATATTAATTTGGAGATGGTTAATTAGGTTACAAACAATTGATCGTTTTTCTTGATAGTTCACACCATCTATTCGTGCTTCAAAACTCCAAAATATATCTGCATCAATGTTTGAAATCTCTTATCTTGAAGCCAACCGTTGTGTACATAGCCATGCATGCTGGAAAATTGGGACCTAAACCTGTATTTACTGAAGCAAAATGTTTAGTTGAAATGGGGGGAGACCTAATTAGGATCAAAGTGCAAATAATCACCTAGTACTAAGCCAACACCACAAGATTTTGAGCAAAATCATATTGCTTTAATGATATTAGCGAAGAAGGGAGAATGAGACAGAGCATTGTTGGTCTTGTCGGTCTTCCATGCATTTGTTAGTGTCCCTGACTCTGCTCTGGCTCTTCTCTTCTTGTTTCCCTCATCTTATTAAAAACATTCTGACTCAAACATTCACACGAAGAATAACACAACTTAGAAGCAAATGAGAATAGACTCTGTTTTCAAATCAGAAACACAAATTTTGCTCAGGATCTGGTTTGGGGAAAACTGTGTTTCGTGAAGTCAACATTAGAACCATTGGATATGATTTGTATTAAAGTTCCAAATTGATGGAATTTGCAACTATACTAATTCTAAGTTTTGGCTATATTATTAGCCTAAAACAACATATCCTTATAAATGTGGTGAATAAATCGATTGATATGGGATGATTAAGTTCCAATCAAATTATATCATCCTAACTTATAATGGGATTGTTTTATTTATTAGATAAATTAATTAGAAAATGTTAGATAAGATCATCCAATAATATAACTTAGAATCTTAGATTACTCGTTTATTCGATGTACATAAAAATGCATATACAGATCCTAGTACCCAACAGTAGCACAAAAAGGTGAAAACTTACTTCCCGTTAAAAAATGTAAGGCATTTTTAATCAAATCTCACCTCTCAATAAAGTAATTACTTATTTTCAAACTAACTCTATCTTTTCTTATTTACCTCTATTAAACACCTTACAATAAATATAAAGTTATTTATCAATAGAGATACTTAAAAAAAAAACAATTATTACATCTCGAAAGATTATAAATGCCTTATATTTTTAAATATTCAACTCCTTGAAAAATGACTTATACTTTTTAATGGGGGAAGTATATATTTAGTCTATCTAAAACACTTGTTTTTCAATTAAATTAAAACACATGTATCCTTGATAGATTATTTATTCTATAACAAATTATATTATTAATATTATTAACACATTAAAACTCACTTGTTTTGATTTGATTGAATAAAAGTATATTAAATATATAATGCTATGTATCTTGCCCAACATAAAATAAGGCTGAAGTATGCTTCTGGTCCTCTAATTTTATATAATATTTTAGTTCAGTTCTTAATTTTAAAAAATATCTTTTTCTGTCATTTAACTCTAACATCATTAATTTTAAATAATTTTTTTGCATCAATCATGTTGTTTTTAAAAATTAAAAAATTAAACTTAGTATATGAATATTTGAAAATGCTTAGATGAATTGAACGGTGGAATTGCTATTCTTTTTTAAATGAAAGTGAATAATAATTTCCCAATATTTCCATTGTACGTCACAGAACGCCATGTTTGACTCCGCATGCAAAGCTAACAGCTATAGGCATAGTTTAATTACTTTTATTTTTTAATTTGGTTACTTAATATGTAGCTACGTCTAGGAAATTGATAGATTATTTGGAAAATTTATATATAAATCTTGTAGAGCATATTCATATATAAATAAGTTCTATGAAATTTAATAACCACAGAAAAGTCCTTTAAAATTTGAGTGTTATTTGAATTTGGAGTACAAAGACAATATTGTCCCTATTAAAAACACTGTAGTTATGATTGTAAAATATTGAAGTGTGAGTTGTAAATTATTAATGTGATAATTGTAAACAATTAATTCTAAATTTTATTGTCAATGCATAATCAATTTAACTATAAGATATATGGAGTTATTGTTGTAAAATGTTGAAATGAAAATTGTAAATTACTAATGAGATACTTATATATTATTAGTATCAAACTTGTAAGGCATTATCGATTTAACTATTTGATATGTAAAGTTATAGTTATAAAAATTTAAAATAATAATTGTAAATTACTGATAAAATAGTTGTAAATTTTTTTATTGATATAATGTACTTTTGACATGAGGTATTATTGCCTTTGCACTTTAAATTTAAATTACACTCAGGTCTCAAAGAATTTGACTGTAATTTTTGAGCAACTTATTTATGAATAAGTCTATTTCAATCAAAATCGTCTTCTTCGAAATGCAGAAGAATAAGCTTCTACTAGATTCTCCTCAATGTCAGGTCATCTTCAAAATGTTCCTCTAACATTTATAGACAATAAATTTCCTAAGCTTTCAAATCCGAACACACCTGACGCATCCAGTTAATGCACATCGAGCCAAAGAAAATGTGAACCCACATTACAAACACTGTTTCTTCAATGGTTCAGATAAATTTGAATTGAAAGAGAGGAGCATTTCATTCAAAGAGAAAAAAGATAAAAGGTTCAAAATACAATGATGTGTGGCATGAGAACTCTTTCATATACTCTAAGAACTATTACTACGTAAACTCTTCCTTCATCAATTCACAAATTTAAGATAGAGATATGACATGTAAAACTAAACCAGGCTCCACACTCATTGTACCAAATAAACTTGCTACTTCTTGCTGCACTTGCATGCCGCGGACAGAACATATTGAACAGGAAAAAGAAGATAAAACGAGATAAGTTATGATTCATTTGGCATGATGATGAATAAAAAGAAAATATAAAAGACAACAGTTTGTTTTCTTAATACTATATGATAGCTAAATCATTACCTCAACATCACAGAATGTTCTTGATGTTCAATGGAAACTTTTGAAACTGAGGGTCACAAAAACACAAAGTTGATCCACCAGATGACCAAACAATCTGAAAAATTTGTGTCTCCATGATCTGATGAAGAAGAGAGAACCACAAACTCCCCAGAAGCCCACTGCAAATCCGATTCCCATCCCAAGATACAATGACTTTGTATAGTTGTCATCTTCATTTTCCTCATCTAGCTTTGAGTTGTCGGTTTCTTCCTTCTTGTGGCAGATTTTTGGAAGAGGATCTCCACAAAGTTCAAGATTGCCAACAAAACTCCACAATTCAAAACTTTGAATTTGGGTTCCCAAAGGAATTTCTCCATTGAAATTGTTGTATGATAAATTCAAATAAGCAAGAAAAGACAAATTAGAGATTGTCGAAGGAATTTTTCCATAAAGTTTATTGAAGCTGAGATCGAGCGATTCCAAATTTTTCATGCTTCCAATTTCTTTAGAGATCTTCCCTGTCAATTGGTTTCGAGATAAGTTCAAGGACCACAATTGAGTCATCCTAAACAATTCTTTAGGAATTTCTCCAGACAAGTTGTTAGAAGAGAGATCAATACTGTTAACTATAAAAGCATCATTATAATTCAATTCTCTTCCTTTAGAGACCAAGTTCGCTGCCTCTATCGGATAAATATCATCAGTAGGATATGAATTCATGATGTTATATAAGCAATAAGGTATGGGTCCAGAAAGCATATTATCGGCAAGATCTAGTACTCTGACAGTTGAGAGGCTGCATATTTGAGATGGAATATTACCCGTAAATTGGTTGGCTCTTAATTGAATAACCACCAAATTTTTCTGCTGCAAATTTGGCAAACTTCCAGAAAATTTATTTCGCTCTAGAAAGAGGTAAACCAAATTCGTCCAGTTCGACAAGTCCAATGAAAATTTGCCGAAAAAATTATTATTCTGCAAATTCAATCCCTGCAGATGATTCAATGAAGCCATTGAGGGAGGAATTTCACCTGTTAGCTTATTGCTCCCCAAGTTAAGGTGATCTAATTGTTTCCAATTGGTCCAACAATCAGGAAGTTTTCCAGTTAAATGATTGTGCGATACATCCAAGTGATACACTTCTGTTGCATTACTATCACACAACAATGGGAATATAGATCCTGAGAAAGCATTGTTCGATGCTGAAACATAGAATACGTCAGATGATATGTGTGGGAGGCTTCCTGTGAAATTATTGTCGTCTAAAGAAATAGATGATGAGTGTAATGTCACATTGGATATGTCTCCACTGATCAAGTTGTTTGATAGATCGACACTATGAATTCTTGAAACAATGCTCCAAAATACATTTTCATCTATATTTGCTATCCCACATGTAGAGATGTCTAGTCCTCGTAGTGACCGTTGTGTATATAGCCATGCTGGAAGATTAGGACCTAGACTTGTGTTACTCACATCCAGAGACTCAAGTTGAAATGGTGGGACCCAATTGGGATCAAAGTGAAATTTGAAACCAGTTGAACTTAAGTCCAAATATGTTAATCTTGAGAGATTGGCGAAATTCTTTTCTGCGAGGACACCCATGAAGGAATTGCCTCGGATGATTAAATATTTTAGGTTATGGACTTGTCCAAAGCTTATTGGAAGATTACCGCTTAATTGATTCCTTGATAGATCCAAGAAAACTAAGGAAGAAAGGTTTCCAAAACATGAAGGAATTGGACCAGAGATCAAATTTTCAGAGATATCAAAATATTGCAAATGTTCATGGCGATCTAACCAATCTGGAAGTGATCCTCTGAGTTGATTATACCTCAAGCTTAACCTTTTTAAGTAAGGAAGCTTGAATAAGGCTATTGGTATGTGACCATAGAAATTGTTCCAGCCGAGGTCAAGAACAGAGATATCTTTGGTGACATTAAAGAACGAAGCAGGCAACATTGAGTTGATATGGTTGTCAGAAAGATCAAGAGTTACAAGTGATGTAAAATTAACATAGTTGAGGGATGGAAAATGTCTCAGCCGACAACCACTCAAGCGTAACACAGATAACAAAGGAAGCATTCCCATATGTTGGAGCCATTTGGCTTCACTTCCAATATCAACAGCACTGAGATCAAGATATTTTAATGAAGAAATCTGAGAAAGCCAATGAAGATCATTTATGACTAAATCATAATTATATGAGAAGTCAAGGTAATGTATAGTAGCAGAAAAATTTTCTTGTTGAGTTGACACAGTAGCAAGTGATCGATTGTGGAATCTATGTGTTGGGGATTGGGAGACTTGGCATGGTGAAGTACTCACAGTTTTGAAGTGATTGTAGCTGAAGTTCAAGTACTTGAGAAATTGAATCTGAAGGAGACACAGATTAATCTCACCTTGTAATCCACGATCAGATAGAGAAAGATCCGTGACTCTGCCAGTGGTGATGTCACATTGAACTCCCTCCCATAAACAACAATCTTCTTCAGTATTCCAAGAGGAGAGTCGGTTTAAAGGATCTACCACTCCTTCTTTGAAGATTGAAAGTAATCTTTGATCATTCTCATTGCAACGAACCAGCAAGCTGCTTGTGCTAAATATTTTTCCATTGAATGTCGTTGCAAATAGCAGAAGCAGCAACAAAGCAAATGAAACTCGTGAAGTGAAGCTCACCATCACAGTTGTTTCTGTAGAATATGAACACGATGATGATGAAGTCCTTACTGGTATGTATATATATACTGTTTTTACTGGTATATATGTCCTAGAAATGCTGAACTAAATACAAATTAATATTCAAATGCATTAAAATAGTGATAGCTCACGTCATATCCCTTTTTGACCAAGGCTTCTCTTTTTAGTTTTTACACACGCACATGCATGAATGTTGTTCTTGATTTAAAGGGTGCACCCTGTTCCCCGCCGGGATCGTTTCCCTAGCATGTGCATGTGCCCGTTCTTAAATGAGATTTAAATCATTTAGATTTTAATCTGAACATTTCAAATTTTAAATATTATTTTAAATTATATTTATTTAAATAAAAATTTATAAAAATTATAAAATAATCTTAATAAATTTTTATTTTTAATTTAGTCTAGATTTAATTTAGAGGATCCAATTTAATATTAAAATTTTTATGATTGATGTAGATTAAGATTATAAAAATTGGATCCTCTAAATTAATCTACATCAATCATAAAAATTTTAATGTTAAATCAAATCCTCTAAATTAAATCTAGACCAAATGAAAAATAAAAAAATTATTAAAATTATTTTATAAATTTTATTTTAATAAATATAATATAAAAATATATAATAATACTTTAAATCTGAACAATTTAAATGATTCAAATCTGATCATGTGCTCCTCCTGGTACTCATTCTTGAAATGAGTAGGGAAATTAATTTCACTAGTCAACTTTAATATGTCATGTGACTAACTAGCTAATATACAAAACAGTCAACAAACACAACAATAATATCGCCACCATCATAGTCCAAAATGCTCAAATACAATCTTCCTTCCAAATCACACTCAATTATTTATGGTTGAAAAGTCCATTCTCCACTTGTTATGAGTGACACATACCTTTTCTATCTTGAAATTATTTCCACAGCTGTTACAATGGAAAGTAAGGGGGAAAAAAAAAATTCCGCACCCAACGGGAATATGACACTTTAGGACTTAAAACATCAACTGCGGACTATTTTAAAATCAAATTATTTCAAAATATGAATAAAAGGCCAAAAGTCAAAAACATAACCTTTCATGAATGCCACCAAAAATGAGAAAATAGCTTAGGAAAAAAAATTAGTGAAAATTAATGAATTTCTCCATCCATTTGTGTGATATAAATACATATCACTATCACTTATCACGAATACCACAATTTTCAGCAAAAGGGGCACACATATTTATTATGTTTGAAATGTCTTCCTCGTAAAGTTTCGTGTACCCACAAGCCAGGTTCCTTCCTCATCTTCTAAGTCAATTCCACCGCCGAATTGTTTGAACATTGCAAAAAGTATGCGTAGGGTTGAAAATATGGACTTACTATCGAAGGATTCGGATTTAGTGTCTGCTACGGGCACCAACTTTTCCCGTCTGAATTGTTAAAATTTAAATTAATAATTTTGAATTTATATTTCACCAAAAATTAATAAATAAATATGCTTATCTAACCGTTAATCTGGCTCATATTAGACAAAATTCACTAGGAGCCTCAAAAACGGAGGAAAAAGAAAAAGTGAAAGAAAGGTAGGGAGAATTACATTAAAATTACACATAAAAAAATTAATTACTGTAAGATAATAACATTTAGTTCAGTTATGTCACACCTTAAACTTTAAAAGTATAACCGGCTGGAATACAAGCAAATTTAAATTTTATAAGCCCAAACTCATATAATGTCTAACATATTAATTATACAATCTCATCATATAATCATCAATTGTATTAAACAACTATTCATATTAATGAAATATTTAAATTTGTTGAAAAAATTTTGACAAAATTTCATCTATAAATTGGACTACCTAAAATCTTTACAACCTATCAAAAGAATATCCAAGCAACATTTGAAGTTCTACTCTAATACAGTATATATATATATATATATGTACACACAAAAACCCAAAATAATTTAATTAAGAACCCTACCTATATAATTCGTGGAGCGAATCTAAAACAAAACAAAAATATTTAAATATTTACATTAATCCATAATGTGAATAGACCAACAAAATACTTTTTATCTCAAGGAGTCCCATGAAGCTTACTAAAGAGCAGGTCCACTTCTATTGTTTGAATACCAAAAACTTTTTTTAGCAAATAACATCTCCAAATAATAACAACAAATAAAAATGATAACCAAAAACACATGCAGTAGAAAACAAGTAATTAATTTAATTATCGATGGTATTAAAAAATAACAATACAATTTATCTTGATAATTTAAGTAACAAAAATAGAAGAAAGAAAAATAAAAAATCATAATCAACAAATTAAGAAATAGATTTTTAATTTTTTTATATAAAACAAATCATAAAAATACAATTCTTTAGGGTGAAAATATAATGTGAAAACTTATTTTCTGTTAGGACCTAAACCAAACAAATAATAGGCGTGGACATATAATTCATGAAGATAAGTAACATTCATGTGGCTAGAAGCCACAAAAAATAGGTGTAAGCATAAAGTTCACAAATAACAAGCATAGATTATATCCATAAAATTACATCATCTGTTCCACATGTGTTGGCTGACACATAGGACTAACATCTCTAATGTACCCTACTAGCTAGATATGTCATAGCACACTAAGAGCTAACAAAATTGTTGTTAGCCACTAGCATTTCGTATTTAGTCCTATAAAACAATTCTCGCATGCATGAAGACTATAAGTCCTTGTAGTTCAAATTGTCCTTTAATTTGCAAGATATAAACAATCTTTTTATTAATAATTTATCTAATCCATGCATGTATGATTTTAAAATAAATAAAATAAAATACCATGAAAATGCCTGCATGATTAAAGTTGAATAATAAATAAATTGATTACATGTAAATGAGCTTAATCATAAGATACAATTTAAAAATATTTATTGAGAACAATTAAAGTAAATAAATAAAGCAAAAGAAAGATCATTACTTTTATATACATTGGGGTCACTAAATTTTAAAATACATTTCTTATAACTTTAATCAAGTTTTCTCTTCTTCTAGGATCCCTATCACATATAATAAAATTTTAATAGATTTATTACAAACATCTAACATATTTAAATTTTCAAATCAATCAATTAAACTTCTTAACCTTCATTCTCTTACCCCAACAAACATCAATATCATATTGTACAAATCAAACTCCTAAAAAATAAAATCAACTTAAACCCAAAGAAAGCAACTTTAAATTCCTTTCCCTACGGTAACAAATACATAAGTTAAATTACTTATATATGTATGTATGTATGTATGTAAATACTGTTAAAGCTGAATTTTAGCTTTAGTAAATCCTGTATACTCTCTCACTCACGTAATAACGTAACAAAGAGGGAGAATTATAATCTACTACTACCCACATAATATGCACAGCCATATAACTGTTGCTAGGGAGGCAAAGGATGAGATTTTAGCTAACCAAAGAGTAAAGGAGACATGGAGGAAGGATTTGAAGCTCTTACTCACCCAAGACAGTACTGTCCAGAAGAAATGAGAAGAGGAAGAATTTTTTTTATCACAGAAACAAAAGGGAAGGCAGAAGAGAGGACCGACGACTAATCAACGGAAGGAATATAGAGAGGACTACACGATCGAACTTCCATATCAGCAACAGACGTCCCACAGCCCACACTTATTATGACGACAGTGACAATGAACCAAGAAGGAAGAGAGCCCGGCGCAGAACGAAGAAAAACACTAGATAAGGATGACGGGGGAGGAGGGTTCCGACGTACCCACTGTCACCGGCAGCAAGGATTAGTGGCAAAGAAGGAAGAATGGGAGACGAACATGATGAAGACTTGAAGCTCTCTTTTCTAGCTCTCTTTTCTCTCTCTTGCTCTGTTTCTGCTACTTGACCGACAAAGGGAAAGAGAGTTTTGAATAAAAAAGGATCATGAGGGAAACTTACAGAATAAGGCTAAAGATTGTTGATAAAATTACAAAATAACACACCCACCAAAAAATTATTGTTGTTATTATTATTATTATTAATAAATTTTATAATAATTAATTTTCTTATAAAAGGCATGGATGTAATTCACCCAAAAACAAAAGCAAGTTGAATAGGGGTCAAATCACTTTTTGACTGGTTGTAAATACACAGCACCCACGCATACTTTTTTTTTTTAAAAAAAAAAAGAAGCTTGTAATTCTTATAATCTTACTTGCTCATCGTCACCAATGATCATCTACAATAAAGAAAGACTTAGTTTAGAACTTCAAATTTTTACTCTGCAACTGTTTTTTTGAGAGTCCATGCTGTTATTCAGTAGCCTTGGATCCATGAAGCAAGCAACTAATAGATTCAATCCATTGACACAATAAAATTTTATTGCTTTAATAATATTCATGAAGAAGGAGACAAAGTGGGAGGAATGGGCTTCATCACATACGTCATACAAGTTCTTCGGCGCACATCACGAAACAGGGGATTAGTACGGGTCTATGTGAGTTCATCTTGGCATTATGAGCTCAACTAAATTGACAAGTTTGGTAACCCTAACCTCATGTAACCAAAGCCAGGTTCATCTTAGGACCCATTTTCATGTTGAACAGAATGTTATTTGACCTTATTTGTTGGCATTTGAACACCGTATGTTATATATTCAAGTAAAGGTGCATTCTTTTCTTTAAAATATTTCTCAAAAGGTACCCAACACTTTAACATTTTTGTTAGAGTAATTTTGCTCTTAAAGTTAGTAAAACGAAACATTTTTTCCTTTTCTATCAAATTTTTTAACAGTCAACATTGAAATTTTGACGAAAAGGGTAAAAATGCTCAGTTCTAATAACTTTAAGGGCAAAATTACTCCAACAAAAATGTTAAGGTGTTAAGAGCTCCTCGAAAAATACTTTAAGAGCAAAAATTATAAAGTCCGCTAATTAATCCAGATTTTACCATTCTCAAATGCATAATCATTAAACAATAATCACATAATATCATAATAATAGCCCTCA